GTCACCCAGCTATATGAAAAGTGCTCAATCTTAAAGCATTCATGAACGGCTTTCATTTGATACCCATATTGAACAAATACACCCAAGGTTACCCAGGTCCACATTTTGGTCTATATCTCGAGACCCTAGTCACCCAGCATTGCTCTATCTTAAAGCACTCATGAACAGCTTTAATTTGATACCCATATTAAACAAATACATCCTAAGGTTACCCGGGTCCACGTTTTGGGGCCACGCCCCCTTTATATATCAAAATATTTTTTACCCTGTGACCATCCCTGGAAGATATCCAGTGCGTGTGTAAAATTTGGTTACGATCGGCTTATTCGTTTAGGAGCCAAGTGTGTCTATAGGTACATACATAATTTGAATTTTATATATATAGATATGTAAATGCTGAAAATATGCAGTTTTGAATCTTCTTGTATGTAGGTGCCATAAAAAACTTCCACGATATGTAAGTGATTTGGGCGTTGTATATTTGAATTTTTACGTAATTTAGCAGGGCGGTATTGTGAAAATAAATGCCATCAGTAAATAAGTTATCACGAACTATCACGAAGTATCTTTCGGAAGTAGGTAAGCTTGTTAGTACCTTTATTGCCAAGGATATTTATATTGGAGCTCCAGCGATTGGTGGTGAATTCAACAGTGTCCAAGTGTACATAGAATTGGATTTTCCTCTTGTCGTTAATGCGTTTGAGACTTTTGTAGCGCTACATGATTAAAAAAATCTGAGAACAAAATTAAACAAGATGGGATCAATGTCAACGTACATTGCACTTCAGTCAGAAATCTTCGAAGCTCTTAAGGAGAGATAGCAGCGTGGAAAAACGACCAATCAGCACTACTAAGTTCCCAGTTCCTGGCTGCTACTTCTGCTTTGGAATTTTAAATGCCTTTAAAAATAATGCAGTCAGTGCACTCCATCCTGTTGCCTTTGAGTAAGCAATTAATCGATACGCTGTTATTGAGCCTCGATACAATATCTGAACCTGAAATGGGTGGACCCAACTCAATATATGCCAAAGTTTAAAGAAAATGTCGTGGAAGACGAATTTGTCAAATGCAACTTGTCTCTAAAAAGCGACAAAAGAAAGTGTACACCTTGTTCTAATATACTAATCATAATTATTTTCATGAAAATTTTTTTCATTAATTATTTATGAGAAAATAGTTCATTCTAAAATATAAACCACACACTTTATATATAGTTCACAAAAATTCAAAGAAATGTTCATCAAAATTTTCAACATTTTATTCAGCTTCTAAAAAATTTTCGAGAATGCAGTTTTGTAGTCCATTCAATTTTTAGTGCGCTGAAGTGCACAAAATCGCGTTGATTTTTGAGATTTTTTTTTTTTTTTGTTACGGATTTTTGAATTTTTTCCATATAAGCATGAATTATCAAATAAAACATGGGAGACCAAAATTTCAAAAAATCAACGCCTGTTTTAGTAAATTGCATTTGTTATATAAAAAAAAACGCAACAGCAGTCTCCAAAAAAAATTCTCACGCGGTTTTTAGCCGGATAATACTCGAAAATTTTCTAGAAACTCTGAATGGAAAGTTGAAATTTTGATGAAAATTTTTTGAATTCTTGTGATCTTTATATCGATGGATGATTGGACGATCGACCTAACTCGGCAGACAGTTCGAAAACACCCTATATCAGAAAATTTTTCAACTACGCCTTCCTTCAGAATTTAATTAAAGAACGCCCTACTTCGGAATTTTATTGGAAAACACCCTATCTCAGAATTTGGTTGAAGAACGTCCTATCTCAGCTGCCGATTCAAATACGCCCTATCTCTATCTGAAAGGGAGCGTTCTTCAATCAAATTCTGAAGTAGGGCGTTTTTGGAAAGTTTTCTGAGATAGGGCGCTTTCAAACTGGCTGCAAAAAAAAATTCATGGAAATAATTGTCAATATTATATTAGAACAAGGTGTACGCTTTCATTTGTCGCCAAGTGTATGTACAGTGGCGCTCATGTAAATAGCACACCTTTACATTTTTATCATTAATTATATATAAAAATATAGTATATTCTATACCATAAACCATAAAAGTCAAAAATTTAAAAGTTTGTGCAAAGTTCACGAAAATTTAACACATTTAAAAAAAAAAATTCATCAAAAATTCCAACTTTCAGATTATTTAGATTATTTAGGCCCACTTGCAGAATAGCAGGTTATCTATTTAAATCGAAGTTTACCGGTTAAATTAATAAATTGTCTTGCACAATCAATGGTTAGGAGTAAAATTAGAGTTAAATCGTTAAATATTTAGCCCAGAAATTTTCGAAGGTTAACTTGCTAACTTTACATATGTCAATTCTGTCAGTACCAAGAATAAAGAAATTGAGATTTCAAAAATATTTAGTGTAAAACATATATGTAATACTCCTATATTGGCAGTAAGAGCTAGTACCGTCCGAAAACACTACAGTACAGATATATCAATAAACACGTACGAAAGAAAAGGAACACATACGTTTATAAATAAACATGTACACAACACATATACAAAAACGGCACTCAAGTACACAATACATTGACAAAAACAGTACTAGACTGTCTCGCTTTGATTTCGGAATGCTTACACATTGAGAAATTAGCTTACTGCCAATATAGAAGTATTACATATATGGTGTAAAAAAATATTTTTGAATACATACATATGTACATTAGACTGCATCACCAAAGAAAGTGGCGGTTTTTCCGCCTGGATTACAAAATTCATTATATTTTAAGACGTCCACCAAAATATTTCGGAAAAATATTAAGATTTAAGCGAGCTGGACTGATTTGAAAATACTTCCAAAAATGGAGTTTTTTATGAATAAAAATAGTTTCTTAAAGAAATTTTTGAAAAAAGTCCCTTCATATGACAAAACAGATTAGGCTTAAAAAATCTGCATACAGATATTTAAAAATCTTTTCAAATAACTGTACCAAAACTTTTTTGATTTAGACTTATGGGATCTCGGTAAAAAGGTATTTTCCCACTATTTTTATTTATGTGCAAAAAAAAGTCATTCGTGTCCCAATTTGTTTTTTTTTTGTCAAATACCAACACATCTTAATTCAACTTTGAATGATGTTCGTTCATCCTACCTTTCTCTTTCCTCCTTTGAATGAGCTTATTAGCAAAGAAATAAAAAGGGTGAGAAAATACCTTCCAATGATACCTCACAAGCCTAAATCGGAAGAGCTTAGGTTTAGATATTCAAGTTTTTCAGATACCAATCTTTGAAAAAAGTTAAAAAACAGCACTTAAAATCTCATTATTACGATTCTGTTCAAAATTTTTTGAAATTTTTTTTTAATATTTTTATGTAAGTTTTTTAAGCTTAAAGCATTTGAGCTGATTTAAAAAAAAACATATTTAATAAACTATTTTTATTCTTAAGAAACTCCATTTTGGAGGTATTTTCAATCGGTCCAGCTCGCTTGATTCTTAATATTTTTCCGAAATATTTTGGTGGACGTCTTAAAATATAATAGCTTTTATAATTCTAATGGAAAATCAGTACCGATTTTTTTTGTATGGAGAGTGATGCAGTCTAATGTGCCTACATATGTACATACATATGCCCGTATTAACTTTTGCCGCCTTCAACTCTGAGGTTTCGGTCAGTGTCGTGTGAAAAATATATGCCATTAAAATGCACCAAACGTATGCAGTGAAAAAATGTCGCTGGCCAATTTGCAGAGCAATGAAATATCATTTTATTTAATATTTGTCATATTCTTTAGCTTTGCTGTTTGTATTTGAAATTTCACATTCAATTTCAAATAATAAACGGAAACAATCAAAACAAACATCAAAAAAGAGAGAGTGGCGCCTACTTAATTTAGAAATCCCTCGGGTTACTTACCTCTGGGCCAGATTTCAATGCTACAAGACATTGTCGGGTTTAGGAATATAAACATTTAACTCTGAGGTACTGAGCTCTGTATTTATATATTTAACTCTGGATTTTCTGCAAGTGGGCCTTAAAAGCGGATTGTGCGATTAATGAATTAATATGAGTTATAATCAATTTAATAATTGCGCAGTCCTATTGCAAAATGTGTTGAAATAAATAATTTTAAAAAGTATGCGTATTTTTAAAGAAAATTGTTTGTATATCACTATTATATAAGTGATTTTTGTTATTTATTTTTACCCTCTGAAGGTATTATATTCGTTTTTGGCTTTAAAAACTACATACATTATAACAAGATCTCATTTTTAAAATAAAAGATTTGTTAAATCGATTTCATGAATTTTATAAAAAA